TAGTATTAAGTACAGTAAAGTTTAGTACTAACTAAACTAAAGTAAAAAGAAACATACACAGGTTACAGTTTTAGTTTATCACTTTATCGAACGTATGCCTAACATAAGTTAAAGTTTTATAAAGTACGGCCTATATACAAGTGGATTTACACATTTCGTTGTCTATGATTACAATTCGTTTGTATTGTGCTAGAAATGTTATATTTAAAAAAAAGTACTGTTTTGATAAAGATACTAATTTGGTCAGATATTTTTTGTGGGTCTCTGCTAGTAATCTAATATTGTTGTTAAGAGGCTACGTGCTGAAAGTATAGAATGAAATGTATAAACTATAGAATTGAAAAAAAATTTTTGTTTTCTAATTTAGAGGCTCCATTAATTAAATAAGTTTGTTTTTTATTATTTAAGTTTAAAATCAGCGGTAAAGTCAGTAGGAAGGTTACCTTTATAAAAAGGCCACATCCCGTAAAGGAGCAACAAATTACATAGGTTATACTTTTATGCTAAAATGGGTTCAGAATACACACACTGACATAGTCATCTGGAATAAATCAACCTAATAACCTGAGCAAATCTAGATACTTTCACTAATATACAATAAAACTGTTGTTGCAATTTTTTTTAACAACTTAAGATGCTTGTATTAGCTTTGACTGATCCACATGATAATAAGTGGATCCTAAGATTCACCTGTAGATTGTTAGTGATTTATTACTGTTAACAAAATAATTTTGTTCTGAGAAAGGAAATTTATAATTTAATAAGAATATAAAAACTAGTCAATTTCTTAGAATAAATTTGGTATCTTCAAATCTTCCCGAATTTTGAATAGAAAAGGAATTACTTGTGTGAAGTTACTTCTAAGGTTAATTAGGTGAAGAAACAGCTTATATACTTTGATTACTGATACATTTTAAAATAATGCAAGATGATAATAAGCATCAGTAATTAGTTAAACAGATGTTTTATATTTGTGACATAAACTCATACATGTTTTGGAACACTTTCAATAACCACCCCCCAAAAAACGTACATCACCTATAATAGTTAAATGAACTGCCTAAACGTCACATTAGTGTAGCCTATGTGTAACGTTTTGTATACTCTAATACCTTATAGTGATGGCACATGAGACACATATTTGGCATGTAATGCTGTTTGAATACATGAAGGAAAATAATGCTTCTATAGCCACAAAGAATATCAAAGAAGTTTATGGAAATGTTTTGAACGTTCGTGTGAACAATGGTTCAGCAAATTTTGTTCAGGTGACTAGCCTTGAAAACTGTGATGGCAGGGGCCGACATGTTGGAATTGATATTTATGCTCTGAAGATGCTTGTTGAGTCTAACCCAAGGCAACACACTTGTCTCTTCTGCTGCATAATGCATGTGAATCATTTTTGGACAGAATTGTCACCAGTGATGAAAAATGGATTCTCTATGCAAATATTAAATGCCAAAAACAATGGCTCTGTCCTAGACAAAAACCACTTCCGACCCCAAAACCTGGACTCCATCCGCAGAAAGTGATGCTTTGCATTTGGTGGGACATCAAAGGAGTAATTCATTTTGAACTCCTCAATCCACAGCAAACTGTCAATGCAGAGATCTATAGACAGCAATTGGAACATTTAAATCAAGCTCTTCATCAGAAATGCCCTTCACCTGTCAGTCGGAAAGGTGTTCTTCTTCTTCTACATGACAATGCACATCCACATTTGGCACATTTTACTTAACACAAGATTATGGAGTTGAGTTGGGAAGTTCTCCCCCACCCACCATATTATCCAGATACGGCACCATCAGATTACCATCTTTTTCATTTGCTGCAACAGCAATTTATTGGGAAAACATATGCAAATGTAGAAGGTGTTAAAGAGGACATCAACATATGTTTTTGCTTCAAAGCCAAGTGATTTTTTTAATCAGGGCATTAACAACTTGACTGCAAGATCGAAAAGCATCATTGATAAGAATGGAGACTATTTTATTTAATAAATGTTTTGTTTTGATATATAAGTTGTTCAGGTTTTTTCATCTAAAAAAGCGACATTAATTTCTTGATGACCTAATATAATCCAGACGAGTTGATGAGTCCGTCTGGTAAGAGTAAAGGAGGAGAGAGCCGTAGAAGAAGAGAGGTCCTATAGAATGAGTAAACAATTGCAGGAACCCTGAAATGGAGCTGTACATGCCAAGTAACACCTAACCACTCAAACTTGACACAAAAGATGATCGGGATCAGTATGATCATAGAAGATCAAGACTGAAGGAAGAGAAATGGGAGAGAAAGAATGATGTCCCTTCTGAGCCATCCAAGTCTTAGGAGAAAATGAGCAATCAGGGAACAAGACTAACACTCTTTGTGTGGACATCCTTTACTGTGCATGTCACAAAGTTTTTAGTGACTTACATTCAATATATAATTAAACTACTTTTTGATTATGTTATACAATTAGTATAGCATAATATTATAGCTAATAATCCATATTTCAATAGTACATAAGTTTTAAGTTCTTAATTTTATAAGGCAATATTTTAAAAAATCTTGAATTTCCCCTAGTGTGAGGAATGTGAAATTTTTTCTCTAGGCATCCCCTTTTCTTTATTTTATTCACCACTCCTCCAATAAGTATGAAAGTTAACGTAAATTACTCACTATAAAATCTTCATCACTCAGACAAACAATAATTTTTATAGCCTTCAATCTTGTTTGGTTACAGAGCCATCAAATAGAAAATTAAACCCCTCTTGCCCCACCCACCTGTCACATCCTCCCTTTCAGGATTTGTTAATAGTTCCTTTTTACATTTAATACTATATTATTTATAACGAATTGTCAATTTCTCTTTTAGTACAAACTTCATTCCCATGGGAAACATATCAACTAGATTGGATGAATTTGTAATGGCTCGTCTCTGGTTAGAAAGCCAAAAAATTGTGATAGTTAGGCGACATTGTCTGTTTTTTGCATTTATTTGATGCATTATTTGATTAAATAAAAATTATTTAATGCACTACTACCAGTAGTATAAAAGGAATATCGAGTAAGTACTTTATTTACTCTTTTTCATGTTTATTCTTTATTTATTATTATAAAAGTAACCAAAATGTAAAAATAAAGATCTCTTTAGATTATTTAAGTTGAGATTAGGTAAAATAAACATAAATAATAATAGTATATTAGAAATATTTCAAGAGGCACGCACATGAGAAGCTCAGAGTAGCTCGTGGGTAATGTAATTCGATAGCACAATGTGAACTGCTCGTTCTCCAAGTGATTTACAACATATAATGGTGTGAATAATAGTTAGACATGGTTCAAAGGGCAATAAAACAATAAAATTAAATTATAAATAGATGTATACTGTTACGAGTTTAAAGCTACTTAGGATAAATGAATGTAGTTCCACACTACATTTGAAGTTTTTTGTTTTTTTTGGTGGTTACCAGGTCAGTCAAATTTACCAGCCTTGTATAGAGTTAGGGTAGAGAAACTAACAGATAAAATATAGTTTTAGTGAAAATAAACATTTGAAATGTATTTAGGAGGTTTTAGAGATTACACAACTGAGATTTGAGATTTTTGAGATGAAGAAGAGTATTTTTAATCTTAACATGAAAATCACTTTGCACTTGGTCAAAAATAAGACTTGATATATTCACATATAAATCTTTTTTTATCTTATTAAAAATACATCACTAAAAAAATATGATTTTTTTTATATGTGAAAGCCATAATGTTTACTGAAATTTTGCCAAATTTTGTGAAGATATACATACTACATTAAAAGTTAGTAGTATCAAAACTATAATGGCTTTAAACAAGTACAAAGTGGTCATGTGATTGGTCAATTCAACTGAGCCTGTGTAAAGAGATTTAAAGAAAATATGTGAAACAAAGTATGGGAGGCATTAAATGCATAATGAAAGGTCAGATCTGTGATGACCTCAAGCAAGAAGAATGGAAACAGGTTTTGAGAGAGATGGTGTAATGAGCAAGTGGCCAATGGTTCAAATAAGGCCTGGGTAAAAGAGAATAGAACCATATTTATATTCCAGTAAAGAATAAGACAAGGTGGATGATATATAAGGATGGGCCATTACAAGGTGGAAAGAACAGGGGAAGAAAAGACAGAACCATAATAAAATGTTGGAAGGTAGTCAGTAAGGTTGCCTAATAGCCTACTATGGTAGAAATCAACAAACCTTGGTCAAACAACTAGATAAAAAAGGTTTAAATGTGAGCAACAGTAGGATGGCCTAGTGAGAGAGAGTGACAGATGGACCATCAGCAACAAAACACAACACTTTCTTTGACAGACAAAGTGGTTCATAGGGTGACACAAATGGAATAAGAGAAGAGCTACACAGTCAGAGAAACCTGGCCGCCAAACAATGGATCGGAAAAATACCACACATGAAAATGAAGGGACGACAATCCCTGGTGAAAGAGAGACATATGAGGTTGTAACAAAAGTGACCAGGACTAAGACAGAGGAAAAGGTGCCCTGAATACCACTCGGTGAGGAACCAAGACTGTGTCAGATAAAAGGGGGCTACCAACAGAACCCAACATGGAGTGTCACAAATCCAAGCCAAGATGCATAGGAGAAAGTGAAAAGAAGGTTACAGATACAGAAAATGATTAAGCCAATTCTAGCTGAGGGCATCCATAGCCAGAGCTGCTGGATGAGGTACCATGGACCAGAAGAGGAGAATTGGGAAGAGTGGTGAAGGCATAAATCACTGGCATGCCCAACAGGGAACAGATGCAGTGAAAAACCTGAGGATGGAGTGCCACTCCATAGAAAGAATCCTGTCTGGTCAAGAAACATATCAGCATGGACACGTGTCTGGAGAAGAGGGAAAAACCAAATAATCCTCAACATAAGAGTCATGTAGTAAGGAACAGAAAGAATCAAAAAACAAAAGTGAAAGAGAATGCAAAGATATTTAGAGGAGAAACACAGTTCTTTACAGGTAAAGAAGAGCCTAGTGCAAACCTGGGAGGTGGAAAGAGCTGATCAAAACTGTCATCCTCATAGTTGAGTTCAGAAAGAAGGGAACACACTTCCAACACAGGGACAGGAAGATGAAGCAATAAAGGTATTATCAAACCTATGACACATCAATCAATGGCAGTTATGTCCTCCAAAGTCAATGAGCCTCCAGTGGCCACAGACGAAGTAGGAGCAGTGTTATCATCATTGCCAGAACCTTGAAAGAAGTAGTAGTTACCACAACTTGCAAATTGATTGTTGTTAAAGTAATTCTCTAGATCATTTTTTACACAGTAATTGAAAGGCAACATAGTTTGAAATCACATATGAAATAAAATAAAATGAAAAAAATTTAACACTGGAACAAAGGCAGCATAAGTCTCACTAAACTTTGTTAAACATGTTTGTTTTCCTAACAGTGTTCAGAAAAAAAGAATGAAATTAATTTTGAGCACAGATGCTTATAGGGATCTACTGCACAAAGAGGATGTGTTACCCTTCTACTGGTGGATAGCTATTGTTGTACGTTCATTACATCATGCACTTGCACAGTTTACACTAAAACTTGGCTTAGGCCAAAACTAGTGGCATGGGCGAAATCTCAAAGGCGGATGTGCAAGGAATGGCTAATTTTTGCAGAGAGGTAAGGATATAATTTCAGTATTTATATTATCCACAAAGATTTTTATTGTGCTTGAATCATAAGTGAAAAAAAGGAGACCTGGGCTCTTTGACACCTACTAATTTTACATTTTTAGCTATCAAACTAGTAGGACCAAATCTAAAAACTTTCCTATATAGTAAATAATCTCAGTAAAAACATCACAGTGACATCCACTAAGCAATGGGTGTTCTAATTCATATCATGCTTTTTTGTTATTCATAATGTAATAGATAAGAATGATAATATCATCTGCTCATATACACTGAGCTTTATTGACTTTTAAAAATCATCTTCCAGATACAATCCAGAATGGAGTTGAAATATCTCTGCTACATTCCACATTTTTTCTACCAAATGACATTAAATTTCCAGGATAGGCTTGGATAGATGAATTATTCTACCAACAATTCAAGATAAACAACAAAACAGCAACATACAGGTTTTAAAGCAATCTGAACACTTACAGCACAGTCATAATTATAAAAATTATTCTTACCTCAAATCTAGGTTTTTTAACATGGTCATTCTGTAGTTCATCTGTAACACGTTTCACTGAAACCAAATACCTAACTTTTAGACTAAATTTAATATAATTGTCATACATATTCTATGCATAATACATATGTTCTATTACTACATGATTAAAGTACATGTTCTCTCTGTACACAACACAAACCTGGAGAAAACTTTGCAAAATATATATATATATATATATATTTGCATGGAAAGTTTTCTAAACCAGATAATAATGCAAAAGGATTATTCATTAGCATTAAGCAGTTGGTTCATTAAGACATCAACTTGGTATTTCCAACAAAAAAAAAAGTGTTCTACAATTATGAGTTTGTTGTCACTCTTTATAAAGTTGGGCAGTTTATATGTAACATAAGTAAAATATTAAATTTTCAGTCAAAAAAGAAAACACACACAAAGACTGTAATAATTAAAAATCAAACAAAATATTTGCTCATCTGTATATAAGCAAAATATAATTATAGTTCTAAAATGCATGCACCGATTTACCTTTTCTCAAAAGAATGTAACTAATTTTAATGTTCATCTGTCACTATCATTTTGACAAATTATAAAAAATCCTTCAAAAATTATTCATTGTTATAGATGTACGTTATAAAAATCACAACTGAACACATATTATTTTTATACATTTCTCTTAAGTTGTCCATTATGAATTTCAAATCAAAGGTGTTTAAAATTATCATTTCATAATTGCCTTATGTCTATCACAAGTCAGTTCACAGATGGCCTTTCACGAGTTGGTATTAATTTGAAATGTTAATCAGTAATTTAAAGAATAATGTGAGAAAACAAATCTCCAGTCAAGTGTGGTTTCTATCACAAATATTAAGACTTCTGGTTTAAATGCATGCATATAAATAGTATTTCAGGTTAACATTTAGCTGTAACTTTTAGTTCATTTGATGACTGATGATACTGATAGAAGATCAAGAAGTGAAATGTGATAACATGAGAATATATTTTTATTTGATTTAACACAAAGCTACAGAATGGGTTATATGCACCACAGCTAATCAAACCCTGGATTTTAGCACTGTAAGGCTGTAAGCCTTCCATTAACCCACCAGGGGATGATATGGGAAAGATCTGAAATGCTATTTTTAAGCACCTCTGATTGGCAATTTAAAAAAATAACGTGAAAAAAAATTTGCAATTAAGAATATTTTTATCTTTTATATTAAGGTTTCTGAGGCTTTGCCAGATTTTACATTCTGCATTGTAACATTATAGTTTTGTTGTTCTTTTCACACACTTGCCAGGTAAGTAACTACAATATATTATTTTTGGTTATAAATATTCAATTTCTCCAAACAAAACTCCAGACTTACAGTCATCTCAAATGCAGTGAGTACATTTACAGTACAAAATGTACAATTTCTCTGTACTACTTAAGTTATGTAACTATAAATGTAATTAAGTTTCTTTTATATTTTTCATGGATAAAAATACTACGTGCAAAATTATAATTATAAAAACATATTGAGGGTTAACCATACTATATGTGTGAACAATATTCAAGTTCCCGCAATGCCCTTATAATTTCTTCTATACTTGATCATTGATCATGCTTAATTTGATGGCCATAATTACACACTATTGCCTGACATTACAATGTCCATTGTAGCAAACTACTGTTAAACCATACGTGTTAAAAAACATTCCAGATAACCCCTTCATGCTATATTAACTTCATATTCCAAAACCAATTTTAAGTAGATCAAGGATAAAAAAGTCAATTGGGGCTACACAGGGGAACCTGACATGCAGTTGAATTGGACTGATGCAGGTCCAGTTATTTGGCCATCTTTCTTACAAAAACAACTATGATTTTGAGATGTGGTTGAAAACTTGTGATCTTCTGACCTGTGAGCCATTTCTACTTGAAATCCTTGTTTATTATTGTTTTAATGATATTAGAAGATATGCCAGCTTCATCACAAATGCTTTTTGTGTCAAAGATATCTCTTTTGAAACTACAGCCCTCAGGAAGAGGACATAGCACAAAATTGACTTTGGATGTGATTTTGAACCTATTGCTGTCCTAAACAATCAGATGTGCAGATTTTTCTGATAACTCTTAAAGGCTCTTCTTTCACTAGCAAACATTGTGGCATGGTTCTTCAACTATAAGTCTACCAAATGATGAAATTGCACATTGAAACTAGTTGTTTGAAACCTTAAATTGGTGGAAATAATTTTATATTTTTTGGGAAAAACATTTTGACATAAAAATGTCCTGTATCACATAATAAACATAATGTTATAAAACATAACATTTTGGGACAACATGGAACCTATTAGTCTTATCTAGGCTGTTCCATCCTCTAAACTAAATTTTTAATAAATAAATTGAAAAAAAAAATCTTAAAGCCAGCCCTTATCATTCATATAATTATCAAGCTTTCTCTTAAACTCACTTAAACTTACTGCCTCTACAACATCCAAAGGCAACCCATTCCAAAGGCCAACCACCCTGTTAGAAAAATAAAACTATCTTAGCTGAAGATGTCTCCTACCCTGCGAAAATTTACATTTGTGTCTCCTAGTCCTATCATTCTCACTGTAAGTACGAAAAAGATGATGCATCAACACTATTAATTCCCCTTACAATCTTAAACACCTCAATTGGATCCCCCTAACTTTTCTTTTTTCAAGAGAAAACAATTTGAGATTTCAACCTCTTCTTGTATGACAACACCTTCATCCCAGGCACGATTCTAGTAATCCTTTTCAACAATTCAATATCTTTCCAGAGGTAAGGAGCCCAAGACTGAACACGATATTACAAATTTTGCCTAACCAGTGACATGTACAATGAAATTATAACCTCTTTAGGAGTGTATTCAATATTTCTGTAGATACAACCTAAAATCCCATTTGCCCTACCACTAGAAACAGCAAACTACTTGGATGGCTTTAGAGACTGATCAACTATTACACCAAAATCCCTTTCTTTCAAGACACTGTTAAGGTTGTTCCCATTTAAATTATACTTATAATTCAAATTATGATAACCCACATACACTATCTTGCATTTATTATAATTAAAACCCATTTGCCATTTATTTGCTCAACTCACAAAATAATCTAAATCCTTTTGTAAATCAGCAGCATCCTCTAACACAGTTATCAACACCCAAAACCTTAATATCATCTGCAAATTTATGTAATTTATTGACTATCCCTTCATCTATGTCATTGATGTAAATCAAAAAGAGCAAAGGTCCTAAGACTGAGCCATGAGGTACCCCACTTGTGACATTTATCCAGTTTGCCTGAACTCCATTTGTAACAACCCTCTGCTTTCTTCCATCCAGCCACTCTTCTATCCAATTTGCTAACTTATCCTTCACACCTACAGAGATTATGGTTTTTACAAGTCTTTTACATGGCACCTTGTCAAATGGTTTCTGAAAATCCAGATACACCAGCTCTACACTCTTATCCTCATCTACATAAGCAGTAACCTTTTCAAAGAATGTCAAAAGATTCGTAAGGCAAGATATTTTTCCCTTAGTGAAACCATGTTGACTATCCAATAAAATTCTAAACTTCGTTAAATGACTTTA